AGAATTCGTACTATAATTATAGTATTTGTACTATTATTTCATAGTAAATACTATGTATATAATAATATTATCCTAATGACGAGATAGTACGAGATAATACTATATTTTTAAACGGTTTTATTTAGCTCACCCCGTTTGTTTTATTTATTATTTATTCTTGGGTCAAATTCAGTAATTCATATTTCACCCTCTTCCTGTCAACCGATTAATCTGAAATGTATATTCATTATCATTATAAATTCAAGATGGCCGCCACTACAAAATGGCGGATAATTTATGTTTTATTAATCCCATCAATAGGGGTATCAAACGAAAGGGCTCAACAAGCAGAATATAATATACTATGAAAAATTGAAATCCAAAATGGCGGCCGCTACAAAATGGCGGATAACGTAGATAACGCTGTAGCGTTACGCCATAGATGTGTACATCTATGGCGTTTATTCACGCTGTGTGAATTAACTGAAAATATGCGTCAGCAAGGTGACCAGACTTTTATTGATATTTTGAATGCTTTGAGAGTCGGTGAGCTAACAACCCAACATTTTAGTATTTTAATGGGAAGACTTCTTCAAGGCACGAGTGATGAGTTTGCAATAGACAAAGCGTTAAGGGTATAGCTCAAAAATCAAGAAGTTAACGACCACAACTCTGCTGTATTGAATTTGTACAGAAATAATGGTGCTCGCATTTACAAAATAAAAGCGCAGGATCAGCTAGTACACGCCACACGAAATGCAGACAATATAGATATAGCTACTATAATACCAGCTGATATCAACAAAACTGGGGCTTTACCAGCGGTACTGGAAATATTTGTGGGGGTAAAAGTCATGCTACGGTCCAATATTTACGTTTCAAAGGGATTAGTAAATGGCGCTATAAGCTACACAAACGAAATCGTTTGGCCTCAATTTCGTTGAACTCAGATGTATGCAACAGATGCACCTTCCATCCGAATTGATTTCGCAAGAGACGGAGTACATCTTATACACCCGAAAGCCATACAGTTTCCAGCTAAGTACAATTACGGGACGGCTGAAAGAACAATGTTGCCTTTAATACTATCATGGGCTTCTACAATACATAAACTGAAGGGCAGCACTGTGGATCACGCAGTCGTATACTTAGGTGCGAAACTGTTTGAAGGTCAAGCCTACGTGGCTCTTAGTAGAGTTAAATCTTTGCAGGGACTCCGTATAGAGGAGTTGGACTGCAATAAACTAACAGGCAAGAAACCTTGCAATAATGAAGCACGAAATGAATTAAACAGAATGCGAAATAAAAACTAGAAAATAAAAACAGGTAAAAAAACTTTTTAAGTTAAACGGTTTTATGTTAAACATACATTGCAATGTTAAAGATAAATGTACTAAAAACCAAAAAATAATAAAATAGATACAGTCGTGGGAATTATAAACATATGCATTGACAAGACTAAAATAAAAACGTGGGGCACGTCAATTGTCTACAAATTATCGACTTAATGTGCGATAGAAGAATCGTTTAATTCGTCGTTAGGCAGATTTTAGATTAGATTAGTGAAAATTACGACTTTTCTAAGGATGCCAAAGCTGCTGATCTGCAGCGAAAATTCCACCATAATTGGTTGCAACCTTATTCACCCTGGCTGGTTTACTCGAAACATCTTAAAGGTGCGCTGTGTTTATATTGCGTACTATTCCCTCTAAAAGACAGTAGTTGGATTTTTGGGCTCATTCGTAATTCGACCTATTGCCATTTCAAATATATTCATGAATACTGCGTTAAGCACGTCTCATCACAATATCAGCAGTTATCGATGCAAAACATCTGTCGGAGGAAATGCCTGTGGATATAATGATGAATACTGCTCACCAGAAAAAAAATTAAGGCAAATAAAAAGATAGTGGCATTTATAATTTCTTCAGTCATTTTTTGTGGCACTCACGACTTACCTTTGAGGGGTGAACATAATCATGAAGGAATTCTTGATGATTTAAAGCAGTATTTAGGACATGGCAAAAAAATGCTCTGTATACTTCCCCATAGATACAAAACGAAATTATTAACTTGTGCGGTTTGGTCGTAAAGAATGAAATTATAAAGGAAGCAAAGAAAGCTTGTGCGTACAGTGTTATGGCGGATGAGTCCAACTATCCATCGGAATCCGTTTTATGACAATGATTTTTTTTTAATTAGACGTTGCCCCACACTAGAATTTTCTCCTGACCGCATACATATTACACCCAGACCCGGAACAACAATCTGTCGAACACACAAAGTTGTTCCGTGCGGGAATCGAACCCGCGACACATTGCGTGGCAGCCAGTTGCCCAGCCACCGCGCCAACCGTGCAGTGCAGAAGATGAAAATATAATACGTGAAGAATTTCCAGGATTTGTAGAAAATTAGAGATAAATATAAAAAAGCCTTTATATTTTCATTGTGCTAGCCATAGGCTTAATTTGGGGATAAATGACTTGAACCAAGTTCCAGAAATTCATAATACCATCGGAATAATTAAAGATACAATAATTTTTTTCGAGAATCTGCTTTATAAAGAAAATATGTATAGCGGAGCGTCGACTATCTGAACGTCGCTCAATCGAACGACCGCTTATCCGAACGCGCGGGTTAATCCCACCACCAATTATTTATTTCGGCGCATGCCCGGCGGCGCGCGGAGCGGTCGAGTTCTGCGTCCTGCGTCCGCCATATTTTTTTTTGTTTTAGTTCGCACGTTCGCACCCGACGCCTACGACCAAGATTGCACGCGCAGAGAGGCATGTCCGCTGATCGCTCCCAGTTTTAAATTAATATCTGTAGTTGTCATTTCTTTACTACTAGAACTAACGGCTGACAAACAAAAAAAAAAAAAAAAAATAGAAGCGAAATCAGAAGTGCAGTGCACGATCAAAGACGTCGCGGATCGTCCACCACGTGCGAACTCGTGTGGCGAAAATGGTGGCGGCGTCCGCGATGGCACACGTTCACACCCGTCGTCGTCCGCAGCGCGATAGCTGCCCCTTCAATATGAGACAGCCAAAGCGGAGATTGAGTTAGAGGAAGCGCAAGCCCAAGCCCAAAATTGGCAAAAGAAAAAGCGCGCATCCAGAAGGAGTTGCTTCAAAAGAAGATGGCCGTGGAAGTAGCCGAGCTGCATTCACGGTGTTCACAGTCGTCGGCAAACTCCTATAAATGCAAAGTAGAAAGCTGGTTGAAGAAGTCCATTGCCGAGCCTGGCCCGTCGCTCGATGGATAACAAAGTGACGGTCGAGGACACAGGCGTGAGCACCGCCATACGGGAGCTGACCTGCGCCATAAAGAGTGTAGTCGAGTCGTCCACGGCCACTCAGAATGGCCGTACCCTGCTCATGCGGCTCGCCACCTCTAAGGATTTATCCCAGTACTTCGGAGACCCTCTAGAGTGGCTCCAATTCCGAGAAGCATTTTACGAGACGACGCGCATCTGTAAGTTTAGTCATACCGAAAACGTGTGGCGCTTACGTAAATATTTAATATCAGAATTCCTTTACATCGAAGCTGAAAAGGTAGCAGAGGCCGGAGTGAGCTACACACACTACCAGAACGAATACTCACGTTATAATAAAAACGAAAAAACCGATAAGAAACATCCACATTCCGTTTTAACAGCGATGGCGGTCAATGACCCCGACACAGCGCAGGTTAAATGCCAATTTTGCAAAAGAACTGTCGAGGACTCACTACCCGACTGCAGCAAGTTCAAACGAGCAATGAGAAAAGACCGATGGCGATTTGTTCAAGCGAACAAACTATGTTTCAAATGCCTCGGTTCTCGACATCAAGATCCAGCGACGTGTTCTGCGGAGAGCTGCGACATCCACGGTAAGACGGTAACAATGCGCGCAACTGGCGCATGGGGCTCTGTACTAGTATGTCAAACTGTACTTATTAAATGTGCCATCCAACAGTAACGGTGATAAGTACGAGCTACGTGCTCGCAAACTTAAGGAACTTAACTTGCCCGTACAATTTGTCTCAAGTGTAGAATGTTACGAAAATGTACCTAATATTAATTATTCTTTGTGCTCTGATAGTACAGTTAAAACTGAATTGTTAATAGGGCAAGATAATTATGATTTAATTGCGCCAATTGTTTGTAAAAAGTATAAGTCGAGCGGGCCGTATATTTCAATTAGTAAAGTCCCATCTCTATTCGAAAGTTAATCATGGGAGCGCTTCGAGGAAATAAATTTTAATATTTTTAATCGTTCTTCAAAGCGCTCCTTTTGGGAGCGCGGAGCGGGAGCGCAGAGCGGGAGGAATAAAACGGGAGCGCTTAGATGGGCGCGCTTCAAAACGGGAGCGCTACGAGGAATACCTCAAACTAACATGTCTTTATCTATGCAGCCTAATAACGATAACGTAAACATTGATTTACACGAGTTAATTCGTCGTTCTTTTTCTTTATATTCAATCGGTATTAATAACAAACCGCGTCAGAACTTAGAGACATTAAGGGCCATCAAAATGGTCGACGAGTCCGCCGAGTCAGTCAATGGCCAATGGACGGTCAGGCTTCCGTGGAACATGATGATTTTATCATGCCGAATTCGTATCCTGTGGCGTTAAAACGATTAAAATCGGTAGAACGAAAAATGTTAGATTCAGAATATGAAAGTAGGTACCGCGAGCATATGCAACATCTTCTTAACAATATAAATTGAATGAAAACGGTACCCTTAGTATGAGTTTCCACAACGACAAGGCGCTTGACGTTGACGAGCCAACGTAAAAAGTTTTCGTTTACGAGTAGTTGGCAGTATGAGTTCATAATTTGGTCCGAACGAGACGACGCTAACGTATGTCGCCAAGTATAGACTACAACCGTATAGACGAAGTTCACACTGATATTTCTTTCTCTTTTACACTCGTATAACTAAATGAAATAGATAGATTTTGCTATTTTGACATCTTGTGCAAAGTTTTATGTCACAATCACACAACAAACCGCCCGCACCGACATTTAAAGTTTGAACACAAGTTTGTGTTTGCGATTTTTAAAGATGTCAACGAGAACTAGTTGTTCCCAATTCGAAATAATGGTGGACTATATGGAAAGGTTAGTAAGTTTTAACACATATTTTGAGTTATAATGAATGATATAACATATAACCATAGTATGAATCACTTAACATCAATAGTTCTAAATTTTAAAGTATTTTGTATATATTTTAGAAATGGAGACCTCAATAAGCCTGCTGGTGGACCTCACGGCAGGCTTAGTGCCATTACAAAGTGGGAAGAAATAACGATGGCCCTAAATTTGGACACAACGGGCCAGTCAAAGCCGGTGGAAAAGTGGAAAAAAGTAAAACATTAATTAAAATTATGCGCGCTCTTCTCAACGCTAGCAGCTTAATTAATCTGTCACCATCTAGGCAATGTGGTTTTAAATATTAATAGGACAGGGATATTCTTTTATTATTCACTTATTATACTGTATTTTATTAGCTAGCTTGCCACCCGCCCTGGCTTCGCACTGTTATTAATGCATGTAAACCTTCCTCTTGAGTCACTTTATCTATTAAAACAACCACATCAAAACCCATTGCATAGTTATAAAGATATGCATAGATAGGGATAGACAGGAAAACCTACTTTTTTATATAATGTGGTGATAAGCTTGTTTATGTCTACACCTTCACTGAATAAAGTATGACATTATTTGTATTTCTGTACATAGTATATGTTAATATAATATTGTATAGGTATATGATACTTGATCTTGTGTACGGTGGTGGTTAACTAATAATATATATTTGACGGGGGAAGTGGTTCGGTATCGCTCATTGTGGGCCTCCGTGGATAGTGTTAACACGAGAATTACACAAGGCTTCACTTTTGCAATCGTTTTAATATTCAGTTACAATCAAATAGAAATTACACAGCAGATGGAACGCGTGATAGTTTCAGTGTCGTCTGCTCGGGGTGAACTCTAACCAGCAAGTGCTGAAGTGCTCAGCTAGCGGCCGCTGCCCCGGTCCACTGGCAATCCCCACCCCGGTGCATTCGAACACTAACTCCATCGAACGCCACTAGATGGCGCTGGCGTCCCAAAGCTGTTTCCTGATATTGCCGACATATTCATGTTTGTAAGTAATCGGTAGAATTTTGCATATTTTAAATAATTTTCTATAGTCTCCCTTACAGCTGCTTTTAGTTTTTTTTTTAGTAACAAGTAGTTTTAAGAATTTAATCTGGAGAGCTTCCAATTTATCTAAATGTAATTTAAATGTTAACCCATAGCTGTCAAGAGCATAGCTCATGATAGAATCAACTAATGACATATAAATACATCTTAAAATATTAATAGGAACTTTAAAGCTTAGGTGGTACATTTTACTCAATAAAATTCTTAGTTTACTAGAAATATAGTCTACATGTTGTGACCAGGAAAAGTTACTATCTATTTTCACATCAAGGTAGGTTACACATTTAACTGTTTCAATAGGTTTACATTTACAATCCAGTAAATTATTATGGTGACATGTATAGTCGTGGCTAAATAAGGACGGAATCCCATTATGAGGTTGCAAATATGGCGAACGAATTAACATTAATTTAGTTTTACTGGCGTTTAATATAATGCCATTGTCATGTGACCATTTAACAACAGCGTCTATATCTTCTTGAACTAGCTGACAGACATCATCAATGTTAGTTCCGGAGCGAAGTATGCACAGGTCATCTGCAAACATATAAGCTGAACAAATTTAGATGGTGCTGTATATAAGTGATTTACTCAGAAAAGATGCCAAGGAGAACATATTTCTGGTCCAATACTAAGTGAAAAAGCAGTTCAAATTAAGGAAAAACTAGAAGGAACGTCTAATTTTCAAGCAAGCACAGGTTGGTTAAAACGATTTGAGTCAAGACATGGCGTTCGTGAGGTTCAAATACAAAGAGAAAAACTATCTGCGATTCATCAGCAGCTGCATCATTCAAAATCAAACTTATGCTCTGGAAAACATTTACAATGCAAAAGAAACCGGGCTTAATTGGAAAGCTTTGACGCGAAAAACTCTTGCTTCACGTCGTGAAATAGTAGCTCCTGGTCCTAAAATAAGTAAGGATCGCCTTAGCATGCGCTAATGCTACTGGCAGCTACCGATTGCCCATGCTTGTAATTGGCAAAAGTAAGAAACCACGTTGTTTCAAGCACGTTAATATGTCTGCCATGCCTATCGTTTAAACTTCGCAAAAGAGTGCTTGAATGGATAGTACAATTTTCGTGGAATGGTTTACAGAAACTTTTATACCCTCTGTAAAAGCCCAGGAATCGAATTGAAAGTGAAAATAGATTAAAATAGGCGCCAATAATGTTGGCGATGTAGTCAGGAAAAAATGCTCATGGCAGTGTTATGTAACCCTGCTCAAACCGTACCTGACCACATTGCACACACATTAGCTATCTGAGCTGAGCAACAAGTCTGAATAAAACATGGAAGTTTTTTGCAACAATTTGCAAATTGTTTTGGGCAGACACTTCTAGTCTCAGGATATTTACAACGTGGGCGAAAAACACCACTACCGTCCAAAAAACCGATAAAGTTGTAGCAAAACGTGGCTTACGCCATGTAGGAGATCACCTCAGCTGAACAAGACACATTGGTCACAGTAACATTTGCAGTAAATGCTTTGGGCAATCACCTCCCTTAATATCAAAGTCACGCAGTCAAGTAGCCAAAAATCAAACCGGGATTGCTATTGTAAGTACATGCTAGAGATATTTAATGAAGAGAAACTGGTTGTAACGAATGTTCATGCAACATACTAGGAGACCAAAGGATTTCTTAATGTGATAATAGAGAAAAAGAAACTATCTCCTAATGGTATCAACAATGCTCGTGGTCAATAAGTCTCGTAATGAGCTTTCTCAGTTATAAGAGCCATTAGTTATTTTGTTATTATTTTGTGTGTTATTCGGTGGTCCATGTCTGGTGGCGAATAAATTATTTTTACTCACGATTATGTCCTCTAAGTGCATGTTTTCAAGTATAAATTCTGAGAGTTTTGTTACTTTGTCGTCACTTCTTTTGGTTGTAGGTTAGGTTGAATGAAATGAACATGTGTAAGGCAAAGTGATCACGGGCAAAGTGGAGACGGTATTCACTTTGCCCTATTAGGCTTATATGTCATTCAGATTTATTTTATTTGTTTTAGATGGTCTATAAATATAAGAGAAAGACAAATCAGGCCCAATGGAGTGAGGACAGCATGATGCTTGCAATAGCAGATTGCAACTCTGGCATTCCTGTGAAAACTACAGCAAAAAAGTATGGTCTACCTTACGCCACTCTTTATAGGCATTGGAAAAAAGGTAGTTTAACTGCTCAGCTTGGTCGTTTTCGAAAAGTTTTCAATGATGAACAAGAGGGAGATCTTCGGACATATTTGTATGATATGGATAGTATTTTTTATGGGCTAACTCGAGAAGATTTTAAAACATTAGTTTTTGAATACGCAAAACGTAATATTGTCACTTATCCGCCTAGTTGGGATAAAAATGAAAAAGCTGGTGATGATTGGTTAGCAGGGTTTATGAGAAGAAATCCACAAATTACACTAAGAATTCCAGAAGCTACGTCAATCGGCAGAGTTAAAGGATTCAATCGTCCTCAAGTAGAAAGGTTCTATAAACTGTTAAGCGAACAAATTGAGAAGTACCAAATTGATGATACCAGAATCTACAATGTAGATGAAACTGGTATTCAGACCTCGACAAATAAACCACCTAAGGTTCTATCAGTTAAAGGTAAGAAGCAAGTTGGAGTTATTTCTAGCACGGAACGTGGACAAACTACGACAATCGTGTGTTGCTGCAACGCATCTGGATCATTCGTTCCACCTTTTATGATATTTGCACGTAAAAGGATGCAAGATCGCCTTTTAGATGGTTCTCCTCCAGAGACTCGAGGAAGTTGTTCAGCTTCGGGATGGATAAACGGAGAAATATTTTTGGATCCTATTGTAATATACGAGGACAATAATGGCTGTATTAGTATAGCAAATAATCCGACTAATCATAAGCGGACAAAACACATAGATATAAAGTATCATTTTTCTAGGGAACAAATAGAGAAAAATGTAATCAAGCTTAATTACATTCCCACAGGTCAACAACTGGCAGATGCATTGACAAAGCCGTTGCCTGCAGTGACGTTCCACGAAATGACACGAAATATGGGTTTGCAATAATGAGTTATGATTATTAAACTTATGTTGAGATTTGTTATTGATTATATTATGTATTATTGATTACTAGCTGTTGCCCGCGACTTCGTCCGCGTAGATTAATGCCTTCTGACAGAATTCATCAGAATCAATTCAGTGCCCAATTAAGATTTACCTATTGTGAAATGATTTATCGTAATTTCAATAAATTAAAAATCCCGCAGGGTTCTTACCAGTCCCGGCCCGATCACGTAAGTTTTGAGTAATAAAAACTTCGACTGTTGTACAGAATCTCTATGAAATAAGTTCAGTGGTTAAAAGATAGAGAGTCCTGGAGCATTGACGCATAGTTCCCGTTCCCGAGGGACTTCTGAGATAAAAACTATCATACGTTACTCAGGTCCCAAATCATCGTTTTACCGAATGTAATTCAAAAAGATTCAATGATTCTAGATTCAATTTTCATTCCCATTTTCACACCAACTATCATTCCCTATTTTATCCCCTTAGGGGTGGAATTCATCAAAATCCTTTCTAAGGAGATACCTATGTCATAGTAACTTTATGCATGCAAAGTCTCAGCCCGATCGGTTTAAAACTGGCAAAGTATCACACAAACTTTCACCCTCTATATTACCCACTTTGGGGTGGAAATGTTCAAAAACCTTTCTAAAGGGACGTGTACGTCATAATATCTACCTGCACGCCGAATTTCAACCCGATCTGTGTAAAACTGACAAAGCCTCATACAAACTTTCATCCCCTACATTATCCCATTGGAGTTGGAAATGATCAAAATCCTTACTTGGAGAT